TATGTTAGACCCTTGGGTTATTAAAAAAAAAAAAAGAAAGAAACGATAAGATTGAGTCCTGCCCTCTAAGAGTTTACCAATGTGGAGAAGCTGGACATACAAAGAAATGACAAGAAATCCCTGCATATAGCGGAGCAAATGAGATACTTGTCTGAGTTTGTAAAGGCATCACAGAAGAACTGGCATTCAGGAATTTGGAGTGAAGAGGTGAGGGAGCAGATGCCATTTCAAGTCAAGAGGTGAGGAAGCAGGATACAGCAAAAGCAAAGGCCAGGGGCATGATGGCTGGGATCAAAGGCTGGGAGCTAAGGCTGTTAAGATGTGTTGGGGCTTCACTGTGAAGGTTTTATGTTTTGCGTTAAGCAATTTATATTTTATGTTGAGGCAATCAAAGGTAGTATTGGGCCACCCTTTCCACTTCTCTTAGGCAAAACTGTCTAATCTTAGTTCCTTCTGCTTGAACATTAGCTTTCTCCCAATGCAAGTCTCTTTTCTGTTTCTCCTGAAGCAAGGCTCCTTCCTGTTTTCATTAAAGTCTGAATGCTGTCATCTTCTCTTAAGGTTCTGCCATATAGGTCCCTAGGTAAAGCACACTTTCCTTACCCTCTTTCATCTTTCACACATCTTACTAGAGGGCAGGGAGAGAAGCTTGATAGCACTTCCCCAGCAGAGAGCACCAACTTCAGAATCAAAATAATGTTGATCCCACAGATTTTTACCTGTGGTCAAATGCAACATGTCTATTGCATGCCTTTTCAAATTTTATTTTGATTAAAGCATTTTAAAATGTAGGCCCAAAGCATCCAAATAAATGCTTATAATGTTCTCAAGCTAAATTAGTACTCTCCATAGAATTTTTCTTTCTGTATACCGAAAGATTTAAGACATCTTTTTAAAAACATAAATCTCTTTGTAGATCATTGAAGGATTAGTAGAAAATCATATAACACACTCAAATATACTTAAGAAGTATTTTTAAATAGAGCACTGTGTAGATATTATTTCTACAATCTACAAGAAAATGAGATTGTAGTTTCCAAACAAAATAAAAGTGCAAGTTGGTTGACTGAATTCATACTCATTTGTCATGTTCCCCGGTACTGTATTAATATCTTTAACTGGCCAGTCAATAATACAAAAATTAAATCCTCAGTAAATCTTATCAGTACCACAAAAATAATGGGATTTCTGTTTACAAGGTGTCGATTGTGTTCAGAGCCTTTGATAATGACTGCAGACAGTCAATAAACACTGAGACATTTACATGGTCAGTAGGAGCCTAACTAAACTATCTAATCTTTCAAAAGACAGTCAACACAATGAACTCTAAACCTAATCCTCTCAAATACTGGAGAGACAGTTTAGTGCTTTAAATACTACTCAACCCCAAACCACACACTAAAAAGAACCATTAAGGCTTTTTCTTAAACTCACAGAAGTGGGACATTCTGATTTTGGTTCCATTTTCTGATGGCAAATCTTTACCTTAGGATCTAAGTTCAACCTTTTATAGCATCTGGGATTTGCGAAGGGT